AAATTATTATTATTTTGACAGATGCACTATCCTTTAATAAACATACAAATTATGCAGATTATTTACTATATTTCAAAGTTCTTAATACTGTATGTGTAAGACATATAACTTAACAATATGTTTGTACGTATTCAACTAAACCTAGTACACCTTGAAAATATGTAACTTCAAATATACATTTTTGTATTCTCAAACATTTGATTGATCATTAAATAAACTTTTGATGTAATTTCACTTGAAACTCATTTTTTAATAGAAGTGCATCAACAAGGCAGAAAAATAGTACCTGATAGGGGACTACTGTATAAGTCTGAAACTCTCTAAAATAATTTTGCTCATTTGTCTAAAACACTAGGCTACTCCAATGAACTCTTGAATTCCTGATTGAAAATAAAAATTTAGAAATGCAATAAAATAACACAATTAATTACTTTTAAAAATCAATTGATGAGAGGTCGTTTTTAGAATTTTAAATTGGTTTATTTTCACTTTTCACTTAGATGATAAAGATTGAATCTATATAATAATCCCCTTGTCTTCATTCGCAACTCCTGCTTTGTCATCGCAAACTACTTAGTAATAGTTCATTTGTTGGCAGGGGTAAAGCAATCTAGAACATGTGATATCATCTTATATATAACAAGCAAGAAAATGATACTGATACAATAATAAACCATTTTAACTTCGTGAGCAGAGTTGAAATTCATAGGAAACATTGTATACTATCAAAATGTGATTAATGACCAATTAAATCAGATAAATTTATAGAGCAGGAAAACTTATAATGAATTTTTCATTTTTAAGTGAAGTTCTTAGAGTTACTGATTATTTTTGATCATTTTTGCACAAGATAGAAATGACTTTTACAAAAATTTTTTATTGATGCAATATTACTTTATCAAAAAGTACTTTAAAATTTATAAATAAGTTACTCGAACAATTGATTTACATCAGCCAATCACGAAAGTTTTCCTGGGTTGAAGTTTATTTGCAAAGATTTAATCGGCTAAAAGATCAATTTTTGTAGTGTTTTAAGCCACATGATTTTAGTCTGCTGGCTAAACCAGTTGACTAGACTAAAACATTGGCTATGTGGCTGGCTAACGGCTTATTTTACAGAATCTTTTGAAACTTCACCAAAATTTTATACGGCCTTGTTTGTTTTATACGTTCGTAATCCAGCTTAAATCACTAAAGCTAATTCTTGTACTTTTGATTATAGTTTTTGTTAAACCAATCTTTGCTTTCAGCACATTTTAAGCTTAACGTTAATGGGTTTAAAAATTTTATATCAGATTAAAATTTTATTGCTGTATTTCGTGTAATAGTATATTTTCAGGCTTGGGATAACTTATCGCCGGTATGAAAATTAGCCTCTGTACAATAAAGTAAGTTCTGTTTAAGCCTCATTAGTCCTTTAAGCTATAAAAAGGACGTAATTTGGTTAAGGTTAGTTACGACACTTATGTACAAGGAAGGGACATATAAGCTCACTAACCGATAATAATTACCTTATATTACATGAACCAAATCACCAACGTTACATCTCTGACGAGTTGCCTTATATCATAAAGTCTATATTTTGTAGTATAGATTATTAAACTTACGAATCACCCCGTCTACAAATTTCACAAGATTGTTTAAACCATGTATTGGTAAAAACTTGCAGAATTCAAATTTTAGATTAAAGCTAGAAAAAAAGTGATAACAAAAAAAGAAATGAAAAAAAAATGAAAAATAAGCCCTAATCCAAAATTTTGTAAGAATGCAATACTCCAAATTCGAATTTTGAATTTCAAGTTACACTGAACCTTGCATTCTGGTTACGATATAACTTTGTTCACATTACAAAATTTCTGAATTTTTTTTCAATTAAATTTTCCTCTCCTTTTTCTAAACAAATGGACTTAAAATAACCAAAATACTGGAAAAAGACCACTAAAAAATGTGATGGCAATACAAGAACAGCTGAAAGTTAGTGTTTAATTTTTAATGAAAAGATTAAGAATATTATACATTGATTTTGTGTTTATGTTTTCTTCATATTGTAGACTTAGTGGAGTATTAAAAAAATATGGAATCAACATAAAAGACTGACATTTCTCAACTCAAGCTAGGTAAAGTCATGAATAATATATCGAATGTGGAATTATATTAACCAGATAATACCTCTATTTATATTTATTAAAACTACTGAGAAGACTTTAGCAAATGTTCTCAAGGAAAACACCACATTATGTTAAAACTCTGGTGGTGATGATCAATCTTCAATCTGAAATTGAAATAGGAGATCTTTTTGAAGTACTTTCTGAAAATAATATTCTTTGCAATTTTAGCTACCTATGGCATTAGTGAGAAAAATCAAGCACTAAAGCTCTGTGTTGATATGATTTTGCTAAAGCTAAGGTGTATAGGGGAAAGAGGTCTCAAGTTTTCGAAATGGAACGAATTTATCAATGGATCTTATTTATTTTTTTTTATTATTATTATTTTTTTTACAATATAAGCCCATAGAATGTGTTCCGAAATTAATTATAATTACATATTTTTTATATCAAAATAAGAATATATTTGTTCGCCCGATCATTTAATATGCAAGTCTTCTTAATCTTTTGAACTTAAAATAAAAATTTACTATTATTATGATATTTGGTATTGAGTAATTTTTATTTTTATAAAATCCTTAATATATTTTAAACCAAGATTTTGGTAGCCCAAACTTTCTGGCTATTGAATCTAATTTTTGACTAGTTATAACCGGAGCCGGACGTTCATAAAATCCAATAAAAACTTGAAAGATTTTCATTTCGAACTCCAGCCAATTAACCTTTTTAAAAACGCGTCACTATATTCATGAATCGCGTCTTCGCCAGCCCCTATCGTATGATAATCATATACGTACGTCGCACTATATATATTTACTGCATTTATCTAAAGATGGTTCGGTTTTAAGTATTGATCCTTTATATAATTCACAACCTGAAAGCTATCTAATAAAATAGCCCTTAACATAATAATTTTCTATTGATGTATTGCACTTTTGACATACCAATTTTTTTTTAGCTAACTTTAGGCAAAAAAATTAAAGAGCTACTTTATTCTAATGTATGTTTTTAATATATGTCCAAGCAGACTAATTTACTTTTTTTTTTTGTTATTGTAAACTATATAGTTTTATCAAACTTCTAAATCGTTAATGTACACATGAAATTTTAAATATATTAATTTTGTAAGCTCAAAGCGATTTTCTTTGTAAAATGAGGTATTTTTAAAAATTGTATTCTTAATCAAAATAAAAAATGCTTGATCATTATGTTGAGTCGATCCATCAAGCCTTCAAAAATTTCTTTCGCTTGGCGGGCTATGGAACAGAGAACAATAATTAAAAAATCATCCATATTAAAATAAATGTAAATATCTGTATATTTACCGCCATGGAATTCCTAAACCATCAAATATTTCCTTTTCAGTTCTTTGAGCAATTAAAACTCCTTCACTTTTACCGTGACTCCGAGAAACATTTTTATATAAACCATGATGGTTTAGATTCATTTTCTGTACGTATATAAAGGAAATTTTATTAAATACTGTTGTATTTCAATAATTAGTTTACAATCCTTTAATTTAGAATAATAATTACCTTTTTCTTCGCGAGCAATCTTATACTTCGATTAAATATATCATTACCTGTATAAGCTAGTAATGCGGCCCCTAATTCATTAAATGGCACAATGAAAAAATCTAAATTTTGAAGAAAATCACTAGTTTAAAATTAAAAGTCACTAAAAATAAAGTTATATATTTGTATTTCTAGTATTTCTACCTATTTGATGATGTTTTCCACCTGGCAACTTGCATAGACCATAATATTTTGATGAAACCTTTTCTTTACCATGAGGCTGTGTGAGGTCATGCGTTAGTAGCCCTTCTTCGTGTAAAATAGCGAGCAACTTTGAAAAAGCACCTTTTTAAAACCGATATAAGCTTTACATTCTTTATAATACTGTATATTGAATAAATCAATTTTTACCATAATTTATTTTTCCATCTCCATCATTTTTTTTAGTTATTAAAATGTCAATGTCTCCGCAAGTAGGTTGGCCTCTTATATAAGATCCAACAGGGATACATAATAAATCGGGATCAACCTTATAAGCCGCTTCTTTTACACGGTTTGAGATTTCTGTTACTTCATCTCGTAGAATTTTTTCTTGAAGTTCCTTCATAAATTATAGTAATTAACACATACGTATACATTTAAATCTTAGATACTTATAATAATTTAAACATACATCAAAGTATTCAATTCCAATACGTTGGGCATGCGTTAAATCAACGTTTTTAATAATATCATCGAAAGTTCTGTAACCTTTTGCATACCATTTCATAGCGGTAAACGCACCTACACCTATTTTATTAACAATTAAAAAGAGATTAGAACTATACAAAAAATTAATAGAAAAAAAGATAAAATTATCATAATAGATAATAAAAACGTACCAAAAATATCGCCGAATTTTTTAACTACTTCGTCACTTTCAGAAAAATGTTGTAATCGTTTTAAATTTCCGGTATTGACAATTTCTGCAATCTATAATATGAAAAGGATGAATGATTAATAAAAAAAATTAATGATTTCTATGTATACAGCATAAAATTTAAAGAAAAAAGAAAACAAACTTTTTCAGCAGTGCGATGTCCTATGCCGGGAATTTTTATGGCATCCTCATAAGAGGTAATCGGGTCTTTTTGCTTTTTTATCGCAGAAATCGCTTTTCGATAACTTAAAGTCCGCCATTCATCTTTCATTCGTCGATAATGGTTCAATAACACTTGGAGCTATAATTAATAAGGAGAAAATGCTTAATATAAACTCAGTTAGTCATATTGACTTTCTTTTACCACAAACCTTGTCAATTATCAATTGATTCGGATTATTTGTCTTGTCCTGCATTGATGACACAAGAATTTCATCTTCTGAATCAGACATTTTACTGCCTTGAATACTACGAGAATCGTCATCGTCATCATCATCCAGTAGAAAACCCTTTGAAGATTACGAAATTATAATCTTGCAATATATGAAGGTTATTTCAATTAAATTGCAAAAGACGTGTGTACAATATTTACCGCTTCTGCAAGACATTTGGTCTCTGCGATCATTTCCAATAAAGGATCATCGTCTTGTGTGTTGATAGTCTTAGATGAAGATTCCTGGATTTCTAAAGACGGAGAAGGAGAACGCATTTTTGGTGACAAGGAGTCTTGCCTTTGTTTCTTTTTTGGACGATTATTTCTAATCATCGAAATATATAAAGTTCGATATTAGAATTCTATATATTAATACCACTATTTTAGATATTAAAATGCATAATACTTTTTATTTCCGTCATTGTCACTAATTGAATCATGAATTCTTTTATCACTTTGTTCCAATGGTTGGGTGTCTGACGTTTGTACAATGTATGGCCTTACATCTGTGAGTTCACCTCTCTAATTTAATGATAATATGGTTAAAAAAAATAAATAAAAAATAAATGGAAAAGTGATAATCAAAAATGCGACAAGTTAATGCTTACCATTAAACATTGTGATATCCAATTTGGTTCGACTATAAATACATCCTGTATTAAAAATCAATTGTGGAATACGATAAAATGATAGGATTAATTAAGGAGAACTTATAGCTTTCATAAACACCTGAGGAATATTATTATCATTAATTCCCAAAATTTCCAAAACTCTTTGACCTTCCAAAGAAGTGATCACGTGAGTTACAGAGGCATCAAATCCATCTTCGACGACTTGCCCACCCTCGTCTCTTACTTTTTGTTTTAACAATCTCAAACGAACTTTATCAATATTGTTTGGAATGAAAAAGATTCGATTATCAGAAAATAAGCCAGGTGAGTTTAATGGTTGATTGGTGTTTTTTGATAAAATAGCATCGTTCGTCGATTTTTTTTTTCTCCCACGGGTTACTTTAGACGAACCAAAAGGAATTTGTCTAGGTTTAGAAGTCTTTTGTGCCGGTAATGATTGTGATGTATCTGTTAATGGATCATGTTGAAGTCCCGAATTATCAGTATTTTTTTTATGCATAATCTTATAAAGTTTACGTTCCTTTCTATCACTTGGTTTAAAAGAAAATGATGACAATTGAGGAGATGAGACATTTTTATTCACTGCTGAATTAGTCTGAGTGTTAATCTTTAAAACCGGTGTATCAAAATCATGTGATGAAGCACGGGACTCAGAGGCAGTTTCCTCGAAAAGGCTACTACTATCAAATGCTCTTTTCTTGTCCTCGTTCTTTAAAATTTTGTCCTCTTGTGCTGATAATAGATTCAGAGAATCTACAATAGTATGGAAGGAATCACTCAATTGGGAAGAATCTTTTTGACTGTTGCTATTGTTAGGTGAAGCATCAGAATTAGTCGAGCTTGAAACTTCTTTTTCTTTAGAAGCCATATTTTTCAATTCTATAAAAATTTGAATACTATAAGATATATATATATAACTTAAGTGTGGAAGTGTGACAGAACAATGAGCATATAATTGTTCGAACATACGTACGTATGTACCAACGGATTCTTTTCGGAAGATTTTTCAATGCGTAATTGATTGCTAATGACTTCATAGTCATTAAGTAATACGTATGCATAGAACTAAACAATTGTATGTATTTGGATTGGACCATTACTGCATTACATTAATTATCGTTGCAAAATGATATATCTCTGATCAGATCGCAGCTATCCATTACGACGAAAATGCATAAAGATTTAGGAGTTAAGCTAACGATAAAATAATTACACATATCCTTCGTCCCTTGTTCTTTAATTATTACAGATACACTTTATTGTTATTGTTAGTATATACAGTACAAAATTATTAGTGCTGTGAATGCTAACTTTAGATATGCTTTAACAAAAAGCGTTTTTCAAGTAAAGATTTTTTAAATAAAATTCTATCGTCTACCCAAGAAACACTTATTTGTGTTCCTTATCTTATTCATAGTAACTTACGTATGTATTTGATTGTCCTTGTAAATTATTTCTTCAAATTTTACAAACGCTGTCACAATATTTTTGGGAGCGTCTGATTAACATCTCCACTTAAAATGTAAAGTTTTTTTGCATTAAAGTCATATGATAAGGTGTGAAATGAAGACGTTACATCTGTTACTGCTTTAACTGTTAAGGTTAAAATTATCGGATTTTATCAAATTTATATCAAATTTGAATGTATCTAAAGCTAAATTTAGATTTATTTACAAAAAAATTCGCGTTTGGTAAAGTACAACCACCGTCGTCATAGTGAAATAATTAGGCCGAGAAAAAAATCTTTATGTCGAGAAATATTTCATTGGATGGATCATATATGGGGAAAATCTTTTTGATGGAGTATTGTGATTATTAAAATTAAATGATATAATACTGTATTATATAATTTGCTA